TGTGTCTGCTGGTTTGTAGTTGGAGTTGAGCCAACCCTGAAGGAATCTCATGTGCAGCCTGGTGTATTTGACCACGAAGGTGTTGGCTGCCATGTGACCAAGAAGCTGTAGGCAGGTCCATGCCTGTATTCTGGGGCGAACAGAGATCGTGTGTATGAGATGAGTAATAGTGAGGAATCTGTTGTGTGGAAGCAAGGCTTTGGTTCAAATTGAGTCCAAGGGAGCTCCAATGAACTCTATCTGCTGTATAGGTATCAGGGTGGATTTTTGGAAATTTATTTGCAAGCCTAGACTGTGTAAGAGGGAGATGGTAGAGTCTGTCGCTTTTAACGTCTCGTCGTAGGAGCTGGCTTTGATAAGGCAGTCATCTAAGTAGGGGAAAAGTATAATCCTGTGTTTGCGGAGGTGGGCTACACGTACAGCTAGGGTCTTGGAGAATACCCTCGGTGCTGTGGAGAGACCGAATGGAAGTACTCTGTATTGAAAATGGTCTTGTCCGAGTGTGAATCGCAGGAAGCGTCTGTGTGCTGGATGAATGGATATATGGAAATAGGCGTCTTGTAGGTCGAGGGCTGTGAACCAGTCCCCTTGTTCCAGTGCAGGTATGATTGTATCCAGTGGGGAGGAGGAATAGCTCAGTGGTTTGAGCATTGGCCTGCTAAACCCAGGGTTGTGAGTTCAATCCTTGAGGGGGGCATTTAGGGAACTGGGGTAAAAATCTGTCTGATACTCTATGATTCACTGTAACCATCTTGAATTTTTGTACACATACAAACTTGTTCAGTCAGCGTAGGTCTAATATAGGTCTCCATCCCCCACCTTTCTTTTGGGTCAGAAAGTAGTGGGATGTTGCGTCGGTACATGTTCCACTGTACCTAGGTGGAGAAGATGAGCCACCTCTGCACGGAGGAGACGCTCGTGAGAGGGGTCTCTGAAGAGGAAGGGGGAAGGGTGGGCGGGGAAGATAGGAAAGGGATGGAGTAACCTGACTGAACTATTTCCAGGACTTAGCAGTCCTGCATGATCTGTTGCCAGACATGGTGGAAAGCCTGGAGGTGGTGGCCAAATGGGCAAATAGGCGGCAGAGTCAAGGGGTGGTCGCGCAGAGCCCCGACCAGCACCTCAGAATTGTTGTTTGTTTACCGATGGGTGGGAAGTAGTTGGTTGTGCCTGGTTTTGCCAGCACCTAGGAGGTCTGTTGCGGTTTCTCCCAGTGTCATACGGTCTGGACTGGGGTTGGTGATATTGTTGTGCGCAGGGCCTCTGATAAGGTTGATACTGCTATCTCTGAGGGATGGATGGGTATATGCCCAATGTGTGTAAAGTGGCCCTGGATTCTTTCAGAGTGTGAAGGACTTCATCTTTTTTTTGGAAAAGAGTTTCTTTGTCAAAGGGGAGAGCCTCCACTTTGGTCTGCAAATTTTTGGGGATACCGGATGCAGACAGCCAGGAAGACCGGCGCATCACCACCGCAGTGGCAGTGGTGTGGGCTGCTGTATCTGCCATGTCCAAGGACACTTGTAGTGCCATCCTAGACACCAACTGACCTTCGACGAGGACTGACTTAAAGTCCGCTTTCCTGTCCTCTGGGATATGGGAGGCAAAATCAAAGAGCTTGTTGTAGTTGTCATAGTCATAGCTTGCGAGGAGGGCGGAATAATTTGCAATCCTAAATTGTAGAGTGGAAGAGGTATAAACCTTGCGGCCCAGAAGGTCAAGGCGTTTGAGGTCCTTGTCTTGCGGAGTGGGCTGGTAGTGTGTCTGCTTTGTTCTGTGCATCGCTGCATCCACCACAAGAGAATTGGGTTATGGGTGGGAAAATAAGAAATCAACATCCTTCGCAGGCACGTAGTATTTACATTCAGCTTTCTTGCATGTTGGTGGGATGGAGGCAGGGGTCTGCCAGAGAGTATCAGCTGGTTCTAGGAGGGCTTCATTTATGGGTAGTGCAATCTTTGAGGGTGCAGAGGGTTGGAGGATTTTGAGGAGTCTACGTTGTGTCTCCTGGACTTCTTCCAAAGGGATGTCCTGGCTGAGTGCCACTCTCTTGAAAAGTTCCTGGAATTGCTTAAAGTCGTCCATGTTTTGTGGAGGTGGAGGCATGAGGGCGTCCTCTGTGGCTGATGGCGAGGCAGGAGCCGGAAAGTCCGGGAAGGGTTCATAGTCCACCTCTTCACGAGGGGGTTCAGGAGCTCTAGATGTTGATGGAGCTGGGGATATAGGCGTAGGACGAGCTTGCGGTCTGGTACAAGGGGTGCAAAGAGGAGCGGTGGCAGGAGCCGACCACGGGTACCACTGAGGCCAGGGCACTGGATAGGAAAAGTTGGGTCCCGGCCATTGGGGGACAAAGTAGGGAAACTGAGGCTAGTTCCTATGATGCGCCATGTCTTGGGATATGTAAGGGGGAGACTCAGGTGGGGAGAACTCTGCCAGCTGCTGTATGTTGTTCTCGCTGTCAGTGAAAGTAGCCAGGTCAGGTGGCGAGAGCTGCTGTTCAAACAGTGAGCGCTCTGTGTCTAGGAGCGGAGAGTCAGGCTCAGGGGCCACAGAGATATCCTGCTAGTGCAGAAATTGTTGCTGCTCCCTAGGTTGGTGTGCTGCGGAGCGTGGAGTATGAGCGGCAGCCCGGAGTGAATTTTGATTGGCTTTAGTAGGAGCCACAAGACGTTTGTAAGAGCCCCGCAGGGGGTCTGAATCTGCTCCAGCGGCAGGGCCGGCTCCAGGCACCAGCTTGCCAAGCAGGTGCTTGGGGCGGCCACTCTGGAGAGGGGCGGCACGTCCAACTATTCGGCGGCAATTCGGTGGACGGTCCCTCACTCCCACTTGGAGCGAAGGACCTTCCACCGAATTGCTGCCACAGATAATTGC